CTGCCAGTGACACCTCAGAAAGCATAGCCTTGGCTTCCTGTCCCTGGAAGCTATACCCTGACTCTGCTCCCAGAGGCCGGCTGGAGGCCACCTGGCTGGGTAGCCCAGGGAACAGACCTCTTAAGGGATCTCCTGCTTGCTTGTGTTCCCAGCCTGGGCTCAATGCTGGGCCAGCAGATGGTGGGTTACAGAGGGGTCAGCCTGCCAAATGCACCTGAGGGACCTGACCTAAGTCATTTTGTCCCTAGAGCCCAGCTGGGACTCCTGCTTCTCTAGGCAGGGCAGAGGAGGGAGGAGACACAGCACAGGAATAGAGCATGGGGCAGTGACCCCAGAGTCTGGATTCAAGTCCCAGCCCTGCTAATAACTCATGTGAGCCAGCTCGAGCAAGTCCCTTCACCTTGCTAGAGCTCAGCTTCCTGGCCTATAAAATGTGGGTGGTAATGCCCTCTTCCTGGGGTTGCTGTGAGGATGAGGCAGTGCTTGTGAAAAAGCCTAGTGCTGTACCTGGCACAGAGTAGATGCTTCATGAATGTTGAGTCCGAGAGGCAACTGGAGCTGGTGAGAATGGGGTCCCGACTGTCATGCCAGCCTCCCTCCCAGGCCCACTCTTCCCCCATCTCTTCCCTGAGGAAACCAAGTCTCCCTTATCAGGAAGAGCTGGGGGAGCTGGGAGGAACATTACAGGAACACCAGAGGGAGTCTAGCAGGTGGGCGGGCTTCTCTCTGGAGCCCCCTCAGCAGTTTCATTCCATTCCTGGGCTGAACCCTTGCTCTGCCCCTACCTCCCTTCTGGGGCAGGTGTGTGCTCAGGGACCCTGGGCTCTAGTCCTGGACTGGCTGTGCAGCGCCTCCTGACACAGGTGTGTGCTCAGGGCCCTCAGGCTCCAGTCCTCTACTGGCTGTGGAAGCACATCACTGGGACAGGAAGCCAGTGGCTGCAGGAGACAGGCCTCAGCACATCTCCTCGTCTGTCAGGAGGGGCTCACGGACACCTTTTCTTGGTAGCAAGGAGAGTGTCTCTGCACTATGGAAACTTCCCCTCTTCTAGAGCAGATTGGGAGCTGCCTGTATTATGCCTGAACGCTCCTCAAACTCATGGTCCTGGGGAAGGCGTCTTGGAACCAGAAGCAGCAACAGGACAGGAGCCTCCCTCTGAAGGGTAGGATGCCGGCCTGAGGCCCTCCCTCTTGGCTCTCCCAGGGCCTGGGCTAGCCGGAGGCCCCAGCAGCTGCTGCTGTGGCCGTGCTTACTTTTAATATTTCCCCTATGTGGCTGTTGTCCAAGTTAAGTCACCAAATGGTGCTAGAGGGGATGGCAGAGAGCAGCTTATCCAGCTCCTCTCCATGACCCGGTTAACACACAAGGAAACAGAGGCCTGGAGGTTGTCTACTGTTTGACCTCTTGTAAGAGCCAGCCGTGCTGCATCTACAAAATGAAGAAGGCAGAGCTAGCTGAGGTCTTCAGCAAGGAAGAAAGGGGTCAGTGTATATGAGAGGGTTACCTGGGCAGTGTCATTCTCTCCATCTCTGTATGCAGCCCTTTGGGGACCATCACAATAAGGAAGAGGTGAGGGCAGAGGTGGAGGCTCCACTGCCCAGGCAGGGTGTTACCACGTGGTGGGACAGAGTGTGAACCCTCAAGTGCACTGGGAAGCTTTGGGGAACCACAGTCTCTTCCACTCTTGGATCCTGTGTCCTCTTCTCTTGATGTCAGGGAAGCCCCTAGGCCTCCTTCCCGTGGTGGGGCTATCTCTGCAGAGAATCAGGTGCCCAAGCTGGGCAAGGACTGGAGGAAGCTCCAGATCCGGAGGAGGCAGAGACTGGATGGAGACCTGGAGCAAGGGTTTGGGAGGGGAAGTGAGGAAACAGGTTGAGATGATCTCCATCAGAGCTGGCAAGGCCGCAGGTGATCTGAGAACTATTTTTGTCTAAAAAGAAGGCGCGCACAGGCTCTCTGCTTTTGACAGGTGGCGTTGCAGTGGGAGGAAGGCAGCTTCCTGGCAGTGAGGTAGAAATACTGTAACAGCTGGTACCAAGTTACTGAAAATTTAAAAGCAAACAAGACACAGCAGCCCCCAGGTGGTGTGTTCTGCTGAGGAAGGCTATGGCAGAGGAAGAGCAAGACCATTTCCCCCTCAGGGAGGGCTCTTTGGGTGGTTTGGAGACCCTGGGCTGTTTGTATCCCAATATTAGCTCCCGTTACTAAGGGTCTGCTCTGCGCCAGGTCCTCAGCGTGTGCTGTCTTTATTCCTCACAATCCTGTGGGAAGGGGCGTCCACCTACATAACAGAAATGCGGCTCAGAGAGACCAAGTGACAGCTAGTGAGTAGTGCTGGGCCTGAACCCCAAGTGCCAGGCCTGAACCCCAAAGTTCATACTCTTGCTGTAGCCGCTGAGGCAGGCAGAAGAGCTCCTCGGGAGGAAAGTGAGGGGCGTTCAGGGCCTTCTCTGAATCACTCTCCAAGCCAGAGTAGACCCCCGGTTCCAGTTGTCCTCCTCTGTTTCTGGGCAGAGTCAGGCAGGTGTCATAGCATCCCTCCCGGCCCAACCAGTGCTGGCCAGACTCTCATTCACCGACCTTGACTAGACAGAGAACAGCCACCTTTTAGTATTCATCCCAACAGGTCGAGACGGTCAGTGTGATGGCCACGCGGTTCCTAAGGGACCATAGGTCTAGGAATTATTAGGACACTCACTCAGCCACCCTCGATGCCCCCATCTGCCCCACACTGCCATTCATCTCCCCCATCTGCACTCCTGGAGTATTGGCACTGGTCTAGCCCACTCCAGGTCAGACTCATTAGGAACTCAAGATTCTCGCAAAGAAAGTTGTTTCCAAATTTGTCTTGTCACTCTATTTGGGGGTTGGGAGAGAGCCTGCGGGGGCCAGTGTTGGCCAATACAGGAAAAAGGGAGAATGCTAGAGAAACTGGACTCATGAGAGGTTAAATACATCACAAGAATCCAAAGAAAAGGTGAGTGGTGACAGTCTGCTGAATCACTGTGATCTGTTGCTTTACAAATTCACTCATCAGATGTAAAAGAAATGGCCAAACGACTGGGCCTGGAGTAGGCAGAGTCCAGAAAAGGCCTCCGGGAGTCCTTTGTAAAGGACTGGATGGAGGCGAGGACCACTCTCCTGGAGGTGGGGATGGCTGGGGTTTCCTCTCACAGTCCCTGTGCTCTGGGAAGTTAAGGCTGCAGGTTGCGTAAGACCAGACCTGCAGACCTGGGCCTATATCCTGGAAACAGTATGAAATTGTGAGTCCCCTCAATGAAATGCAGGGTGGACAGCAACTGAAATGAGCTGAAGAAACTCCCTCTTGCGCTCCCACAGGGCAGCCCTACTTCCCAGCCCACTCAGGGAGCGCTGTGGGAGGACAGTGTTGTTCCCTCTGGAGACAAAGTGGCTGGGCACTTGCCTCAGGCTTTAAGGAAACTGTCCACTTTCTAAAAGACCTGGCACTACATTTCCCTCCATGTGGAACAGGAGCAGTCTGAGAACAGAGAGGACAGAGGCACTCGAGGTTCCTGGTACATCATAGCAGGCGGAGACAACGGCCTTCACTGTCCTTCAATTTAAAACTGTTGGCCAGGTGCGGTGGCTCACGCCTGTAATCCCAGCACTTTGGGAGGCTGAGGCAGGTGGATTACCTGAGGTCAGGAGTTTGAGACTGGCCTGGCCAACATGGTATACAAAACATTAGCTGTGTGTGGTGGCGGCACATGCCTGTAATCCCAGCTACTTGGGAGGCTGAGGCAGAATTGCTTTAACCCAGGCAGAGGTTGCAGTGAGCCAAGATCACACCATTGCACTCCAGCCTGGGCAATGAAAGCGAAACTTCGTCTTAAACAAAACAAAACAAAAAACCAACTGTTCAGCTCACCCAGCAATGTAATCTCAGTAGACGATGAAGAACCCCTGTGGTGGTGTGACGTTCTGGTCCTCAAGAAATATGCCCACAAACAACATGTCACTGGCCCTTCTAGCCTCAGTTGTTCCTTCTGTGTAATGGATGAGGCAGGTTTCATTGGGATTTAGCCTGTTAGGTACTTTAGATCCTCTGGTATGGTATTTTTAAAAGGTCCAGGATGAGTCTTCTAGAAATTCTGATGTAAGTTACATGTGAAAAAAGGTACATTCTCTCTGAAATTCAAGATGGAGAGATAATTTGGATGTCATCTATGATGTAAAAACAAAATGGTCTATCTCCTAAAACTACAGCCAAGCCTGTCCTGGTCCTGGCTGCAACTTTACTCCAAATACGGACATTCCTGGAAGTCAAACAGCTGGGAGTAGTGGGGTTTGGAGGTAGAAAACACCCCTGAAGGAGAGCTGGAATTATGTTAACAGGTGATTCTCTCTCAAGGGGTTTTCCTGCTCTGGGTCTTGAAATCTTGCATCTCAAGTTCCGTGGGACACGATATTTAATAGTGGGCTCTGACTGGGTGCGGTGGCTCACGCCTGTAATCCCAGCACTTTGGGAGGCCGAGCTGGGCAGATCATGAGGTCAGGAGATCGAGACCATCCTGGCTAACAGGGAAACCCCGTCTCTACTAAAAATACAAAAAAATTTTTAGCTGGGCGTAGGGGCGGGCGCCTGTAGTCCCAGCTACTCGGGAGGCTGAGGCAGGAGAATGGCATGAACCCAGGAGGCGGAGTTTGCAGTGAGCCGAGATCCTGCCACTGCACTTCAGTCTGGACGACAGAGCAATACTCCATCTCTAAATAACTAAATAAATAGTGGACTCTGCTGGGGAAGGGCCCTGCTGGGGAAGTTAATCAAAAGGTGCCTGATGAACCCCACCCCACCCAGACGCTAACTTATCCACAAAGGGAGGTTCTTTGAAACTGCTCCTTTCCAAAGGTTGAGGGACAGCCCTGTCCCCAACAGGTTCATGTCAGATGCCACTGGTGCTGTTATCAGAAACCCCAGGGCCACAGGTCCCCCTGTTCCCATTTTCACCTCCCCCAAGAAACCAGGACTTAAAACTTTCTAAGAATTCAGATTCTTGGTTTTTTTTTTTATTTATGAGGAATGTATATTGTTAAGTCACTGTTATCAAGGGACACATAAAAGCAGAATCATAAAACTGGACTGCAGCCATTTTCACGGTACCCAAGTCTATGCTTGGGGTCTTCCTGACTCTGTTCTTGGAGTCAAAACCAAGACTCCAAAAAACCAACAAAGTCCCTTCAATGTGAGGAAAGGAAACAGCTTCAAGCACTGACAATTTTTACAAGTGATTATTCAAGGAATGCACAGTAGCCACAGTTCAGACAAATCAACTACAAAAATCATTAAAAAGAAGAGTGGGGAGGGGCACTGCTTATTAAAAACAAAAGACTGGACAAAGAAATTGAAGATAACAGTGGGCGGAAGCTCTGCCTCCTCTGTCCCGTGACTCAGAGGGGCATGGGGGCGCGGGGGTGTGCGATCTGACACGGCTCATTTCCAGCAGATGCATGGAATTCAGGGATGCCTCGCGCTCTTCCTACAACAGAAACTGAATACTACAGGCTTGCTAGATAAGATCTCAGGGGTGAGTGGGGGTTCTGATCTTGTGAGAGCTCGTGTTCCCAGTTAAAGAGGAGGCAGCTGGCCAGAGCTCTGCTGGAGAATCTAATGCCCAAGACGGACCAGAGAGGCCAAACAGCTTGAGGACTCAGCAGGTGACAACCCTGTAGCCTGGAGAGGGGCTGCGCTGCCTTCCTGATGCTGAGAACCACAGACCTCTCTGACCTGGATGTGGGTGCCAAGACTGATTTACTGTGCCCCCAGCAGACCCAGAGCCAGGGAGCAGGCCTCTTCTACCCCAGGAGACAGGCATCATTTCCCTACCGGTTCCTTGGGATGCTTTGGTGTTCTGCAAAGGCATCCTTAGTCTATTTTTTAAAGTTGCATTTTCTTATTTTGGTCATTTTTTGGTCAAAAGTACCGAGGGTATAGAATAAAAGCAAAGATGTGAATGTCTCTACCAGACAGCGGGTGACCTAGTCAGCAGTTTGGAGGGAAATCATCTGAGGGTGCTGGCTCAGCACATTCTCAGATGAAGGTCTGTCATCTAAAGGAGAGAGGCAGGCTCAGGTCCTGAAGGTCGCAGAGCCTCAGTAGTCCTCCTGAGTGTGTCTAGCTGACTGTTATCAAGTAACACGTAAAAGCAGAATCACAAAACTGGACCGCAGCCATCACGGCACTCAAGTCTATGCTTGGGCTCTTCCCTGCTCTGCTCCTGGAGTCATGACCAACACTCTAAAAGTCAACAAAGTCCCTTCAACGTGAGTAAAAGAAATAGTTTCAAGCATTGACAATTTTTACGAGTGACTATTCAAAGAATGCACAGGAGCCAGAGAGCCAGACTCCACAGGGAGGCCAAAGGCTCTGAACACACGAGTCAATGTTCATGGAGGTGTAGACAAAAGATTCCACCTCACAGAGTTTGAAGACAACCTGTCCTTTCACCCACTACTACTGCTTTCTATGTCAACACTATAAAGATCAGGTCTGCGCTCTGCCCACGAGCCTACTTCTGAAGCCATCTGGAAAAATGAAAGCACTTGGATAAATGGAAAAGTATGCCTGAATTTTAAATCTGCTCAATTATAGGTTGTCTGTAGCAGTTAAGAATCAACATCTATGGCATTCTTTTAAACACTCCTAATTTACATATGACTTAGTCAACTTCTCTTGGTGTCACTGTCATGAGAGATATTATGCAGGGTAGAACAGTGACGTGAGCCAACAGGATTTTTTGCCCTTATTCTTGCTAAGTCATGATTATCTGAGCAGAGATGATTTTCTACCCTCTAGGATTTGTCCTGGATTTTTTCCTACGTTGGCTAGGGTGCACGCCCAGCATTTGCAGGGCAAATTCCTAGGAGTGCTTTAGGAGAAGAGGCAGCTGGAAGCTTGGCAATATCCCAAGGCATGCCCGTGCTCCTGGGAAGTGGTCTGTGTCACCTTGCTGGGTGAAACCTCCCCTATGGCTTGGGCAACTCCCTTAACCCAGTCTGGCTGGTTCTAGACTTCCCTGCTGCCGGGGAAAGGGGCACACTTCCAGGGAAGCAGCTTTCCTTGCCTTGCCCGCCCTGCAGCTGGCTAAAGTGCAGGATGGGAGGATGGCAGGGCATTATCTGTAGGCTCCAATCACACTTCCGTGGCACTGGGAACTGCAGTTTTCAACTCCTACCCTTACAAATGTTTCACCAGATCCTTTAAGTTCGCCTTTTTACCCTCTGAGGGAGAAAAGGAGAAATTCTGATCACAAGGAAAGAATCTCAGAAGGGGAAGGGGGAAGTAGAGGGGTCTGCGTAACCCACAAAAGAAATCATCAGTCTCGGACATGATCCAGAATTGACTGAAACCTAATCAAGACCACAAGAGGTCAGTGTAGCAAACACAAAGGGAAAGGAAATGGAAAAAAAAAAAAAACTTTTAAGAGGAAATGGACTGCAGGTGCTCAGTGACTATGTATGCTTTGAGTATAGAAAGAAAAGATCACTTCTTAGGTTTCTACCTCTTCACTTGGGGGGAAAAAAGGGGGGCCTGGCCAGACCTTGCCTAGCAATCCCAAAGAAAGCAGGATAAATGGGAACCCGAAGTTTTCAGTATCACCAATTATGGCTTAAAAAGAAAAAAAAGGAGGAAAAAAAAATCCCCTGACCATGTGATGAGGAATGCTACGACCTACCTCTCTCTCACCCTAGTATGACACACCCTAATCCATCTGTCACCGGAGCATACTATACTGGGCAGAGATAAAAGTTCTTTTCCTCCTGGGGTTTGCTAATCCAGTTCCCATAGCCCATATCCTTCAAGCTTTTTTTGAAGTAGTTCTTGGCCGTCTCGTAGTCACGGGCAGCTTTCTTGGCCTCACCATAGGAGAGTCTCAGTAGATCCCTGCGGTAACGGAAGGAGCAGAGCTTCTTAAATAGAAGAAAAATGTTCTTTTTGGAGACCCGGGACAATTCATTCCGTGGCCTAGAGAAACAAAAGCACTCATTATTCACCTGGGACCTGTAAGATGAGGAGCTCACAGTGGAGAAACCGTGGCAGGGAAGGTGGCTCTCAAGCCCTGAGACTGCAGAGGTATGATGCACCCTTGCAAGTCAGGGCAGAGGCTTGGTCCTCACTGCGCTCTCCTGTCTCCTTACCCATCCACGGTGCCTCTGGTACCGTCCAGGATCTCCAGGTCATAGCCATCAGCCAGACACCAGTTGACGCTTGTCTCCTTAGTCTTCCCAGATTGCCTTTTGGAATCATATACGCTGACTCTGCCAACCTAGGAATCCCAGAAGCAATGGGAGAAAGATGGAAACCTTTCAGGAATAAGATTCTGAAGCAGGGACTCGAGACTTATAGCAAAGAGGAAATGCAGAGTCACGATTTTTCTCCTGTATTTAGGGTTCTGTTTGGCTAAGACAGAGCACACTCTAGACATACTAACTCCACCTCGATTCAGATTAATTCCAGACTAAGAGAAGGAAAGCCCTTGGCATCCAAAAGGAAGACAGTTAAAGTTCTTGGGACACCAACAAATGTTGGTGGTGGGCCACTGTGGGCAATGTTCCCTTGTGGGCTACCACTGCGGGCAGTGTTCCCCTGGGGGCAATGTTCCAATGTGGGCTACCACTGCGGGCAATGCTCCCCTTGCTCACATTGTACATTTTTTCTCTATTTACGTGACTGCTTGAAAAGGAGAAAAATGTCAGGGAAAATAGAAGGGGGGTTATAGCACCTTGGGGTGGTTGACAATAAAGGGATGTCGTAGTCCATCCTCAAATGCACTCCCATCTCTTGTCACACGACAGCAAATAGCCCGGGTCAGATGCCCTTGGCTGAAAAGGTAACCTGTGTACAAAAAAGAGAAACATATATACCTGTGTTTGCACCAAATGCTGTTAAGAGGCAGGGGCATGTGGGGATTTTGGAGGTACAAAATGCAGTTGTCAAGAAAGAGAAACAGCTGCCTTGTTAGGAAGCACCTTCTGACCGGGGCTACCCAGGATCTCCCTACCACAGCAGGTGTAACTGACAACCAGTAACTGAGGGGTGACTCATGCTCACTTTGACAGGGGAGACAAAACACCTGGCAACAAAACATGCCGTTTGGGATTTGGGCACAAGGACGACAGACCAGTTTCCAGATCCCAAGGCAGGCATCTTACCCAATGTAACAGATTTGAGATAAATGGGCTGCAGGAAGTGGGTCAACAGTGCCCCTTGCAGGCCCAGCACATTCCAGCGTAGGATTTTGTCACTACAGGACATGGTACGGAGTCTCTCCCCGAGCCGAATGCCATCCCACGTAGGTACAATGTCACTGGATTCCACAGGGATTGTGCCTTCTCCTATGTGAGAGACTTGGGTCAGACTTACAGGGGCCAGTGGACCAAACCACTCCCTGGCGTGGTTTTTATCCTCCTTAAGCTTGAGCCACAGGCAACATTCATTCATTCTTCACATATTTCACAGCATCTGCTATGTGCCAGGCACTATGCTTGGTGCTGGGAAAGAACTTGGTTAGCAAAACCAAGTAAGATGCTTGTCCTCCTAAAACATCTACAGTGGTGAGGAGATTGAAAGGGGAGAGAACAGACACTAAACCAGGAGCCAGTATATACAGAAGAATTCCACATGCTGCTAGTGCTCTGAAGGCTTTGAGGCAGCTATGACGGAGGACCACAGGGGGAACCTCCTGGGACAGCAGCAGCAGGGGAACCCAGACATGGAGGAGAAGGACAGCTGGAGTAAGAGTGTTTCAGGCACACAGGACAAAAGCAACGGCCCCAAGGCAGCCAGCGGATTGGCTGTTTAGGGGGCAGACAGAGAGCCAGTGTGGACACAGCATATGCGAGGAATGGGGAAAGTGGCATGAGAGGAGGCCGGGTGATCACAGCAGGTTTTGCTTGTATATGCAGTGCAGTGGGAAACCACCATAGGGTTTAAAAAAAAAAAAACACAGTTTTACTGAAATATAGTTCACATGCCATACAGTTCACCCATTTAAAGCATACAATTCAGTCGTTTTTAGTATATTCACAGACTTCTGCAACTGTCACCACAGTCAATTTTAGAACATTTCATCGCTCCAAAAAGAAACCTTCTACCCATTGGAGCAGTCACTCCTCATCTCTCCAACCCTCCCACTCCTGGCCTTGGCAACCACTAATCTACTTTCTGTCTCTATGGATTTGTCTATTCTGGACATTTCATATAAATGGAATCATACAATATGGGATCTTTTGTGACTGGCTTTTTTCATTTGGCATCAAGTTTTCAAGTGCATCCATATCGTAAGCATGTATCAGCACTTCACTTCTTTTTATGGCCAAATAATACTCAATTTATGGATATACTTGATGTTTTATTTATGAATCCATTAGCTGATGGACATTTGGGTTGTTTCCACTTTTTTGGCTCTTGTGAGTAACGCAGCCATGAACATTCACATATTAGTTTCCGCGTGGACACAGGTCTCCATCTCTCTGGAGCATACACCTAGGAGTGCAGCACTGGCTCCATGTAACTGTGTCTATACTTCAGGGTATTTAGCAGGGTTTCAGGACCACCATGATGACTGCTGACGTGGCCTGAACGCAATGGAGTGGATGTGAGGAGACAGTAAGGAGACAGGAGAGGATAGGAGAGAAGGAGCCAGTGGACAATGCAGAGTCAACTGCCAGCTAGACAGGAGGGACCCGGGCACTTGGCATCCTCATCTGTCACCTCCTTAGGGCTTGGTTGTGCCGCACTCTTCATTTCCTCCCCCCTTTCTCGAGGCGATCCTATGCATTCCCGTGGCCATGAAGACCCTATAGGGGGATGACTCCCATATTTCTATTTCCAGCCAAGCTCCCTCCTCTAAGCTTCACATGGGAACCCCCACTTCCTATTTGACTTGAGGATCTCCAAGGTCTCCCAAACTAACACATTCAAAATAGAACCTTGATCTTACCACACAGCTCCCCACCCAGGTCTTCCCTTTCCTGTAAACAGCACCTCTGTGCCCAGTGACTAATGGTAAAATCCTAACAGCCTTGCAGAGACTTGGGGGCCCGGGGTCTTGCAGAGCCTTTTGCAAAAAGGAGGCGGGGGCATGTATCACTCACCATTTTCCACCTTGGTGCGGAGCTTGCCTTGTTTGGGATTCTCAAAGACAGGGTAGTGGCGGGAGTCTGTGCTTTCCATAGCACGGTCGCTGCAGGACTTGTCAAAGAGGGCACCATCTCCACATGGAGCGGTGCTGAAAAACAGGGGTGGCTGTTAAAACTCACCTGTGGGAAATCTGCAGTTTCATGGGGCTCCAAAACAACTAGATGTGACAGAAGCAATGGACGTTTTCTGAGGCCTACCATGGGAGACTGGAGGTGGACAGCAGTACACGTGAGTCATTCTACACCTGAATATGGACCTCAAACCCACGGTGGAGTGTGGCTTATTGTATGAGGTCCGATTTACAGGCCAAGAGAGCATTCGGATACCCAATGCTAACAGCCTGGCAGGGCCCACCCTGGCAGCAACAAGAACTGTACAGACCTGATATAGAGATGGAATGACACAGTCTTTTTTATTTGGAGCTTTTCTCCTCCCTTAGCAGGTTCAAATATACTATCCTTCGCAGTCTGGGGGTTGTATTTCATTAACTCACTGTAGAGAAACCTACAAAAACAAAAGTCTGGTTAGGAAGGTAGGTTCAATTCTGGGAAAAACAGTTGCTTCTATAATCGGACCTCCAAATGAGCAAGTAAGGAAAAGCCTCAATGTTGCAGACCTTTCACGGTTTCTCAGGTGGAAATTCTCCAGGGGAGACCCAGCATTTCATAAAGCATAGTTAGCCTTTTGGGTCTCCTTCATTTCTGCTGAGGGCTTCTCGCTATGGCAGCTACAGGGATTCTAGGGCAGAGCAAACTGATTCAAGGACTACAGGAAGCTGTTGCTCCTTTCCAAGTCTCTCCCTTCATAAATTAAAGAAAAGGTGACTTAGAGGAGAAAGCTGGCAGGGGCATCAAGGTTGTGTAGGTCCTCAAATAGAAATGGAAAGCTGCCTCATCCCCAAGGCCCTGAGGACTAAAAGGTCATTTTGTGTTTTCCGAAAAGGACATGAAGCAGCAGAGTTAGCAGAAAAAAGGACAGCATTTAAAACCACGCGGAGTAGTGGGAGGCAGCTCAGGTCACAGAGGGGATGGATTCCACCAGACAGGTTCAAATGGACGGGTGAAAAGCAAAGGCTGCCACTGCCACATCATGACCCGTCTGTCAGAGGGGGATTCAGAGAGGCCGTGTCAGAGTCACGTGCGACAGGGAACTGGAGCTCTCCAGAGCCAGGCAACCAGGCCACAGCTCTGATCTCGCTCACCTGATGAAGCCTCTCCGGGAGATGATTTCTGCATGGCAGTCATTGACAGTTTCTCCCTTCAGGCTGAGAGAATCTCCTTTCACACAGCGATTCCCTAGGAAGGTGTTTAAAACAGAAATAGAATAATGGAAGGAAACTGATGACAAACAGGATGATGGCTATTTGTTCTGAAAGCTTCAAGGCAGAAACAGCCTCAACTTCTCAGATCCTAGACTCCCATATTCTCTCCTCTAGGAACTAACTCATTCCTCACTCTGAATTGACTGCAGCTAAAATGAAGTCTCTTCTCCCTTCCTTGGACTTGCATGGACTCCAGGGGAGGATGAGAGGGACCCGCTTTCAGGCGCCACAGGAGGCGGCATGACTCAGCCTCACTCACCTGTTCCCAAGCTGACGACGACACCCATGTCCTCAGAGTCTTTTTTCATAACGATGGCGGCCAGAATCTTGCGGCCGAGCAAGGAAGGCTGGAAGCTGTTAGTCAGAGTGTTGAAGCACCGGTGGCTCAGCATGGCTATCTGGTCATGGAAGGTGCTGCCAGTGAGAGGGAGCTGTGGGGAAAGGAGGCTGTGTCAGCACCACGAAGCTGAGGCTGCGTCCACCATATTCACCATGGCAGGGAGATCAAGCTCTACTTGTCGTGTGAGTCATCTTTTCCTTCTTGTATCTAGTGTCCCAGTTATATGCTCTCTTGAGGCTAAAAGTAAAGCCTAGGAATAACTCGCATGACAGCAAGAGCCACCTCCACTTAGAGAGAAGTTAGGAGGACCCCCCACCCCAAAAAAAGGCACCAAAAGTAGACGTCTTAACTGTCTTTGGCTGTGCTTCTGGGGACCTTGAGAGGAGGAGCATAGTTCTTCTGAGACTGGCCCCTGTCACTGGGGTTACCTCTGTGAAACCCATGCGTTCTGCCTTCTCGTTCTCCCCAATCAAGACACGGAGAGCCGCATCTGCTGCTTCCTGCTTGCCTTGCTTCTTGCTGTGTGCGCAGACGGCTGGGAACCAGCGACCCCCAACTTTTGCTTGGTAAACGAACCTTTGGGATGAGAAGCAGAGAATGAAGACAAGCGCCAGATCCTGACAGTTGTTCCAAGGAAGGGTTAGTTTTGCTGAAGATGTGGCCGGTCTTGCAAACATATGGACCTGTCAAACAGAAGCTGTTTCTAAGGCAGCATGTCCTAGATTTTGGTCATTCATGAATCGCCACATGATTTGTGCCAGATCCAGGTATCACTTGGACTATTACTTAATATTTTTCTCTAAATTGACTTCTTAGAGTCAGCCACTGTGGCTCACACCTGTAATCCCAGCAACTTGAGGAGCTAAGGTGGGAGATCACTTGAGGCCAGGAGTTCAAAACCAGCCTGGGCAACATAGTAATCCCCCAGGCAACACAGCAAGACTCCTGTTTCTTTAAAAAAGAAAAAAAAAATTTAGCTGGGCATGGTGGTGTGTGCCTGTAGTCTCAGCTACTCGGGAGGCTGGGGTGAGAGGATCACCTGAGCCCTGGAGGTCAAGGCTGCAGTGAGCTATGATCCTATCACTGCACTCTAGCCTGGGCGAGAGAGCAAGATCCCCATCTCTAAAATAAACAAACAGACTCTTTAAAAATGTAAATATCTGTAATACTAGGTATGAAAAAAGAGATAAAGATGTAAACACACTGAAATAGGAGACTTCGTATCACTATTGTAAATGGAAAACCAGTATCACCTGCCACATATTGAAAGTGGCTGTAAAACGGGATATGATAAAATCATGTTATAAAATTCTGACCACATACCGTTACCAACTTGGACTCTTACTTCATACACTGATTTTTAAAGCACCCAACTCCATTCCCTCATTTACTTCCTATTAGCTCAAGGGGACTTGACCTGGAAAGGTCATTAGGTCAAGGTCGGCCTTAGGCCAGGCACCCAGGCTTTTCTGGGAGTTGTTTTGCAACTCCTGGCAGGCTTGAGCTAACTCTGGGTTAAGGAATGGATCCTGGGCCCATGAGCTGTGCTGATAATAAAGTGCCCAAGTGGAGCAGGGAGGTGGCTTCTACTGCTCCGGCCGGGAATTTCCACAAACACAGAGGGAAGGGCACGGTGAAGCAAAACAGCTTGGAAATGTATCAGACAAGGCATCAAGAATCCTAGCTTTCAACCAGATCCTAATCTATTGGCTGAGAACCCAGCTTTGGATACTCAAACTGCATACAACAGAGGCTTCAGTTTCAAGACTTAGCAGCTCGGACAGTAAAAGGAATCAACGTTTATGTTCAACCACATGGAGTTTCTCACTGTTCCTTGATGATCCGAAGCAACTGAATGCCTTCACTCCTTTCTTTGCCCATGCTGGCAGGCTCGTGCAGGCCAGTGGGCTTAAGTTCAGAATGAGAGGGACAGTGGCGTGAAAAGAGGATGGTGAAGGGGGCCAGGGACAGTCTGTGTAGGATCTTTACCTCAGGGATCCAGGAGAATTTCATGACTGCCCTATGTGTTTGAAAAGAATATGAACTCTTATGTGCAAAGTTTTATAATAGTATGATATATTTACATACATGATAAAAGTTTGTTAATTATGCAACTAGAACCCTTTAGAGCTGTGCTATCCAATATGGTAGCCACTAGCCACATGGGGCTACTGAATTTATGTTAATTACAATGCAATTAATAATTCAGTGCCACAGCACACTAGCCACAGTTCAAGTGCTCAATAACCACATGTGGCTAGTGGTTGGCCTTTTTAGTGAAATGAGTTAAAGTGAAGACAATGAGTATGAATAACTCTGAGAAGTTTGGCTGTAAGAGAAGCAAAGAAATGAGATGGTAGCTGCAGGAAGATATGGGGTAGAGGGAAGGTTTTTAAAAGACGGTCATGGGCATGTTTCAAGGCTGGTGGGAATGATCTGAGACGGAGATGCTACAGATGAGGGGAGAGGAGACAACCAAGGCGGTAAAGTCTTAGAGCAGATGAGAGGGATGGGGGATCCAGGACACAGGGATAGGATGAGGGATACGTCCTTCACTCTTGCTGGTACAGATGGAGGTAGCAGGGTAGTTTGGTAATGGAAAGATAAGGTATTTCTTGTATGCTTACTGCTATTTTTTCAATTAAGTGTGAAGTAAGGTAGTTGAAAGTGAGGAACGGGGTATGGGTGGAAATCTGAAGAAAGAGGCAAAGGTCTGAAATGGTTCTCTCAGCAGAGGAAAGAAAATTAAGAAGAAAAATGCTGGGAAAGGGACAAGAGTGTGGGGAAAGGGCAAGTCACGCTCCTTTATTAAAAACCTTCAACAGCTCTCCACTGCTTTTGTGGTCAAAGCACTAACGTGACTAAACAAGGCAGGCCCTGGTGGGCCACCCTGACTACCTCTCTAATATCCTCTAGTGCCAGCCTTCCCTTGTGCTCTCTGCTTCACCCGTAAGGGCCTCCTCTCAGCCCCTTTGCCAGCTCTGCTCTTCTTCCACCACAGGATTTCACAGTGTCCTTCACCTAGAACCCTTGGTCTCTCTCTCTTCATCATCCTTAAAGTCCCAGCTCAGGCAGTACTTCTTGGGGCAGCCCTTTCCCCTCTGCTTACTAAGTCAAATTGTGCTATAACTGATTCTCACTGCAACTCGAGCCCTTTGGAATACTTATCAAATATGAGATCTTACATTTTTCTAGGTGACAATTGGTTAATGTTTGGCTCCTGTTCTAAAAAAAAAATAAAGAAGATACTCCATAAATAAGCGTTGAGTAAATAAAGTAGAAAGATCAGTTAGGAGGCTATTTTGACAGTCTAGATGAGATAGTGGCTTGGATTAGAGTGCTGACACTGGAGGTAGAAAGAACAGGAAGGGATATGGGATAGAAATTCTAAGTATAACTAATAGGACTTAAGGATGAGTTGACAAAGGAGGTAAAGGAGGTAGAGGAAAAGATGATCCTCAGGTTTCTGATTGGAGCCACTGGGCAGACAGTGGTATCACTTACTGAGCTGGGAAAGACTGGAGGGAAATGAAGTGAAGGGGGCAAAACCCAAGAGTTCTGCTTTGGACATGTCAGATTCGGGACGTTCATCCAAAGAGAAGTGACAAGTAAGCAACTAGATGGAGGAATCTGGAGCTCTGAGTGGTCTCTAGCATTTAGATATTAAAAGTCATGGCCAGAGTGGTGGTTCATGCCTGTAATCTCAGCATTTTGGGAGGCCGAGGCGGGCGGATCATCTGAGGTCAGGAGTTCAAGACCAGCCTGGCCAAAACCCTGTCTCTACTAAAAACACAAAAGTTAGTCAGATGTGGTGGCAGATGCCTGTAATCCCAGCTACTCGGGAGGCTGAGGCAAGAGAATTGTTTGAACCCGGGGGAGGTGGAGGTTGCAGTGAGCAGAGATTGCGCCATTGCACTCCAGCCTCGGCGACAGAGTGAGACTCCACCTCCAAAAAAAGAAAGAAAGAAAGAAAGAAAGGAAAAAAAAAGTCAAAAAATTAGTTAATGTCACCAACAAGAGTAGAGAGAAAGGAAAAAAAGAAGACCCAGCATAATTCACATTAAGAAAGAACGAGAGTATGTTATTAAGAAACGTAGTTACTCAATTAGCATTTCCCCTCTCTATGCAACCTTCCTCAACTCCCTGGCAGACACTGGCGGCAGTGCCCTCTGTGTCCCCACAGCACTCTGCATTCACCTCTGATGGCACATTTCTTTTTCTTCTTTTTTTTTTGGAGTCTCGCTCTGTCACCCAGGCTGGAGTGCAGTGGCGCAATCTCAGCTCACTGTAACCTCCACTTTCCGGGTTCACGCCATTCTCCTGCCTCAGCCTCCCGAGTAGCTGCGACTACAGGCGCCCGCCACCGCGCCTGGCTAACGTTTTGTATTTTTTAGTAGAGACGGGGTTTCACCATGTTAGCCAGGATGGTCTCGATCTCCTCACCTTGTGATTCACCCGCCTCCGCCTTCCAAAGTGCTGGGATTATAGGCGTGAGCCACTGCGCCCGGCCTGATGGCACATTTCAATACTGCTATGGCTATATGTCTGCTACGCACTTGGGCAACATTTTTTCATATCTTCAATCTAGTTCATAGTGAGTTCTTACATTCTCAATGAATGGCTGACTTGAAGTCCTAGAAAGGATTTCATAGAAGATTTCACAGAAGAGAAGGAGGAAATGAACTGAACCTATCATGTGAAGGCCTGTGCTTAAAGATAAGGAGATGCTTATTGAAAGCGAAGGATATGAAGTAGTAGAAGAGCAGCTGGAGAGAGACTGGGCCTCTCCTTTTCCAGATGGCTTAAACAGTGGGCAGATGTGTGTTCTAAATTGGGTCATGTTGGGCAAAGGGCTACTTTAAAAAATTATGTTAAAAGTTCTTACGTATCAATAAAGAGTAACAATCTGAAAGAAAACTGGAAAAGGACAAGAGCAGGTGGTTCACAGAAAAGGAAATGCAAATAACACATAAATATGAATACATGAAATGACATTACTTCTATTTCTTTTTTTGAGACGGAGTCTCACTCCGTCACCCAGGCTAGATTGCAGTGGCACAATCTCAGCTCACTGCAACTTCCGCCTCCCAGGTTCAAGTAATTCTCCTGCCTCAGCCTCTGGAGTAGCTGGCATTACAGGCATGTACCACCATGCTCAGCTATTTTTGTATTTCTAGTAGAGATGGGGTTTTACCACGTTGGCCAGGCTGGTCTCAAACTCCTGACCTCAAATGATCCACCAACCTCAGCCTCCCGAAGTGCTGGGATTATAGGCGTGAGCCACCATGCCCGGCTGACATTACTCCTATTAAGGAGAGACAAATTTAAAGTAACAAGATAGCATTTTATAAGTTTTAAAGTGTCCCTCCTTCCCCAGAAGCAAACACAGTTGCCAGTTTTTTCGATCCTTCAAGAAAATATTCTAGCCATATACAATCTTCACCTCTCCCCTCACTTTACACCTTGCTTTTCCACTTTGTGATAGACCTTAGAGATTAAGAAAACATGCCTGTTGCATGGCAAGAATGATGCCATCTTGATGCAAAACCACCATGACCACCAATATTTGACTCCCGCATCCCAAGGTGTTTGGTAGCATAAATAACTCCACACAAAGATTTCTACCAAGCCTCCCCGCCAGCTAGTGCTCATAAGTTTCACAAGAAAGTATAAAGTGTGACCAGCTGCGTGTTTAACCAAAAAAGTCTCTATAGGAAGCATACTTTCTGGAGGATAAGTGCAGGGATCCACCGTCTTGCAGCCACCCAATACATCATTTCTGTTCCTAAGTCCTATTAAATATTTCTTTCTGAGAAACTGAATTTGTCAGCTTCTATTCAATGAAATATTATGCAGCTATGCAAGGAGTCTGGTAAGTAAAGCAGTCAACATGTAAAACAGAAGACATATCTGTTTAAAAAGACAAAAGGGAAAATGTGCTAGTTATGCATAGCAATTTCTAGAAGGACTCAAGAAACTGGTATAGTCACGTACTGCATAACAATGTTTTGTTCAATGACAAATCACACATATGACAGGGGTCCCATAAGATTATGATGGAGCTGAAAAATTCTTATCACCAAGTGCAGGGGTCTGTAACCCGTTAGGAACCTGGGCACACAGCAAGAGGTGAGTGGCCGGCAAGCAAGCATTCCGGTCCGAGCTCCGCCTCCTGTCGCATCAGCAGCAGCATGAGATTCTCATAGGCAGTGCGAACTCTACTGTGAACTGTGCATGCAAGGGATCTAGGTTGCATGCTCCTTATGTATTTACTATATTTTTATCATTATTTCAGAGTATACTCCTTCTACTTTTAGAAAAATAAGTAACTAAAAAAAGCCTCAGGCAGGTATTCCAGAAAGCACTGTTACCATAGGAGATGACGGCTCCTATGCATGTTATTGCCCCTGAACACCTTCCAGTGGGACAAACGTGGAGGTGGAAGATGGTGATACTGAGGATCCTGACCCTGTGTCGGCCTAAGCTAATGGCTAATGTATTTTCATCTTAGCTTTTAAGAAAAAAGTTTAAAAAGTTTAAAAAAAAATAAAATTTAAAAACAGAAAAAAGACTATAGGATAAGGATATAAACAAAGGAAACATTTTTGGATAGCAGTACGTTTGTGTTTTAAGCTAAGTATTATTACAAAAGAAACAAAAAATAAAAAAGTTTATAAAGTAAAAAAATTACAGTAAGCTAAGGTTAATTTATTATTAAAGAAAACTATTTTAAATAAATGTAGTTAGTCTAAGTGAACAGTGTTTACAAAGCCTACACTAGTGTACAGTCACGTCCTAGACCCTCACATTCACTCTCCACTCACTGGCTGACTCACCCACAGCAACTTCTAGTCCCGCAAGCTCCATTCATGGCAGGCGCCCTATACAGGTGTAGTATTTTTTATCTTTTATGCTGTCTTTTTACTGTCTTTTCTCTGTTTAGATAGAGACACCAATACTTACCAGTGGGTTGCAGCTGCCCACAGTATTCACTATAGTTACATGCTGTACAGGTTTGCAGCCTAGGAGCAACAGGCCGTACCATACAGCCTGTACGTGTGTAGGAGCCCATACCATCTAGGTTTATATAAATACACTCTGATGTTCTCACAACAACAAAACCATGTTTCTCAGACCGCATCCCAGTTGCTAATGCAAGACTATAGTAGTATATGGGTCTGGGGAGAGAAACCGGAAGTCTGAGACAGAAATGAGACTTTTCATTGAAATGACTACTTTTTCAATCAGCTTAAATGATTTTTTTCAAGATGGAGTCTCACTCTGTTGCCCAGGCTGGAGTGCAGTGGCGCGATCTCAGCTCACTGCAACCTCCACCTCCCAGGTTCAAGCAATTCCCCTGTCTCAGCTTCCTGAGTAGCTGGAATTACAGGCGCCTGCCATCACGCCCAGCTAATTTTTGTATTTTCAGTAGACACAGGGTTTCACCATATTGGTCAGGCTGGTCTCAAACTCCTCCTCAGGTAATCTACCTGCCTCAACCTCCCAAAGTGCTGGGATTACAGGCGTGTGACATGTCTGGCCTGACTGATTTTTTAATGTACATATACATTCCTTTAAAAATTAAAAAGTCAAAAAATTAAAAAGGATCATGCTTATTGGAAGAGTGAACACATTCACTGTTGGCAAGTCTATTGTCTTCTAAGAGGCCATGGAGACAGGGCTGGACTTGTTTCCCTCAACTCGCCCCTTCTGTCCTACACAGCTAAAGCACACCCTTGTTTTCCCCGGGTTACAGACCGCCCCAACTGGTGACACATGCATTAGCCAGGACTAGGACACTCACTTGGGCTCGTGAGGAGGTCCAGACTGGTCGACCAACTTGAATTCAGCAGCAAAGCCATGGGAGCGGGCGTACTCCAAAAGGCCACCCACAGGATTGGTGTTCAAGTATCTCACAAGCTCGCCAATCTTCCTGACCTTGTTGGGCATCACGGATTCCAAGTTATCAAGTGACTCTGAGATCATACCTTCGGGCTAAAGGAGAATCCGTCAAACAGAGGAGTCGTAAACACTTCAGGAAATGTCGAGGGAGTCACTGGCAATCTCAAACCACTCAGTTGCTAAAAATGGCCTGTATCTTTTGAGTAGGAAAATGCCCTACCTGGTCATCAGAAGTCATGGAGTTGGTTGCCTCCCCATGCAGGGCCTTCATGGCTTCCTCTGCGGCCATCTGCTTTGCCACTTTCTTGCTGGGGGCACTCACACTGGGGAAAGTTTGGGCTCCCACTGCAACACAGTACTGGAACCTGATAGGAGATGAAGCAAGTAGAAGGATTAAAATGATTTTGATTGACGAGCCTGACCTAGCCTTTGCCAGGCTGCCATCCTCCACTACTGGTAATTTCCTTGAACACATCACCTCTGTGCAGTCACATCTCATGCAGTCACTTCTGCCTTGAACAGCCAGTGTCTCAGCCTGGCTGACCCCTTTCAACATTTAAGCATCAACCTAGTTTCACCTCTTCCAGGAACACCTCTCTTGAATATGTGAGTCTACAAACCCACAGGCAGACAGCTTCTCACCCACCAACAGTGAGTGACCTCCAAGCCATGAACCTCCCCAGTGCTTGTAGATAGAGTGGGCCAGGAATTCCCTTTGAATTCCTAATCCCTAATTCTCTGCCTCACAAGCAGCGACCAGGCCCTTAGAGCCCTCCTTACCCCATTTTGAAACAGGAGAAATTGGTCAATCTGCCATCCCTGAGGAGGCAAGGAGGAAAATGTGTCTCTTTTTCTTTTTGAGAAAACCTCAGCTGGATAGAGGACACGTGGAACATACTTGGGCTCATGGGCAGGGCCTTCTTTGGACAGGAGACGGAATTCGCAGGAGTTCCCCAATTTGTGCATACACTCGAGCAGTGTGGTGACGGGGCTCTTCCCAGAAAAGAAGGACGTGGCTGAAGGGGTGGGGGTCTGGGACTCTGTGGTCTAGAGAAAATGAGAGACAAGAAGAAAACAAAACTAAGAAAACACTGGTTAGTCCATCACAGAAGAGGGGATGGGGATGGGGGACTTTCTTCCCACCAACTGTCAACGGGTTGGCTTTCCAAAGTTAAAGGAGCTGCTGGGGCTCTCATTCCATATCTTCCAAGAGAGGAGATTGGCCTCAATAACCTTTCAGGTCTCTTTCAACTCTGAAATTCTGTAAATCCAATTATGTTGGGAAGGAGCAGAGAGAGGAGCTGGATATGAGAGGAGGAAAGATGGGCTGGCGAGGTAGGGTAGAGGGAACAGTGGGAAGCTGACTCCGAGATAGTGTCAGTTCTTTAGGCTGGCATTACTTCAGGGGAGTCAGTTACAATTCAGACACTGACAGGGAACTGATAGCCTCCCAGATGGCAGGAGGACACCTACCTTCTCCGATTCTTTTTCTGTGGAATAGTGGGATGATTCTTCTGATTTTCCACTGTCCTTGGCTTTGGCTTCCTCTAGCAGAATTGTCATGGCTTTCATAGCTGCATCCTGCTTGGCCACTTTCTTGCTTCCAGCTTCAGCTGGGGGAAACTCTCGGCCATTGATGACAACCTGGAATTTAAATCTTGACGGAAAGTGGTTAGATGTGTGAACAGCAGTCTAAGTCATTCCTTCTGCCTTCTCCAAAGAGACCTTCAACCTGGAATTTTCTGCTACGCTAAGGGACTTTTGACTTGTGGGCGAGATGAAGGACAGGCCAAGGAACTCCTTCCTACTACTTAAGGTTCAGCCTGTCCTTTCTTTTTGTAAACAAAGCAGCCAGTGACTCTTTCCCCATAGCTCAGTGAAGCAAACATAGGCACAGATGATAGGAAACTAGCTCAGGGGAAACCCACTATCTTTTAACAATGAATTAACATAAACTCCCCCCACACAAAATTGATGGGCCAAAAATCGCCATTACAGTCTTGTGAGCAACCAAAAGACCTTCATTCTAAAGCAACTGTGATAGACTGGCTTCCTCAAGGGAGGGTCCTAAAGGATAGTGAAGGCTTCTTATAACCCAGTCTCTCGCTCCCCACTACCTAGGGGGATCACGCATTTGCCACTTATTAGTGGCTGGCTTTTGTCCCTAGACCTGTATCACTGTAGTTTGTTAAGAGTCACTCTATAGCTCCATTTGTCTCAAGCTATTTTCTACATAACAAGGAATTTCCCCTTGTTATGTAGAAAATAAAAAAGCATTTGTTCTAGGCTTCTGGACTTAGCCTAGGCCCCCCTTTGTTCAAGCGTTCAAATGTGGTGAGCTCTTTGCTCAGTCTGCGATTTCATTTAGAAAAGTAGGTCTTTCTTATTTCCTAGGTCTTCTGATATATTTGAACATGGCACCAATGTTTCTTATAGTGTGAGTCCAAAGAATGATTAACCACAAAATCCACTGCTTTCCTCCAACTCTAGGGAGGAGGGATGGAGACAAAATAGAATGACGGCCATCCAGTCTCTACCCCAAACAATCCAGCTCTGGCCTTGCCAGCTTTTGGACAGACACATCCCCTTCTCTTAACAGCTCTTCTGAAATGCCAAATTGTTATCATGAAAACAGTCAAGACAAGGAATAAGGGCCCTAGCCAGGAATCTACACCCCTAGAAATCAGGCTATGTAAACATAAAGGTCAGTGGAATTCTCCCCCATCCTACTGGCTCTTTCTTTGGCTACAGCTGCAGCCACTCAGCTTCAGTGGTTTTACTCTCTTTTATGCCCTTCAGCAGCTCCTGTTTTCCTCAATCTGTCCACTGGCCTATTAGGACCTACAGTGTAGGGCCTGACCAGCTATCTGAGTGAGGTAATTGCTGACTTCACAGCTCAGGAGTGGCAGCAAGTGCTAGCCCACCCATCTGTGCAGAGGAGGTGTATAAAATTAGAACCACCACCTTCAATAGGCAGGCAGGCAGCCGTGCATGCGCTCCTCCATCCTTTCCCCCCAGCAGCTATGCAGAGGGGGGACTGTGGACCTGCAGATGCTTAGCAGCACAACCCACCCCCCACTCTGTGTATACAGCCTGCCCCAACCCACCTGCTCCTGCACCTCTCTCAGAAACAGCTCAGGGAGGACGGGAAGGCCTATAGAAGGGAGTTAAGTCTTTATTACCTCTGGCCTTAGGAGGCAGGCATGATGCTGATGCATGGAGACCAATCATTTTTTTTTTTTCTGGGATGGAGTCTTGCTCTGTCACCCAGGCCAGAGTGCAGTGGCACCATCTCAGCTCACTGCAACTTCCACCTCCTAGGTTCAAGCATTCTCCTGCCTCAGCCTCCCAAGTAGCTGGGATTACAGGCAAGCACCACCACCCCCGACTAATTTTTATATTTTTAGTAGAGATGGGGTTTCACCATGTTGGCCAGGCTGGTCTCAAACTCCTGACCTCGTGATCTACCTGCCTTGTCCTCCCAAAGTACCAGGATTACTGGCGTGAGCCACTGCCCCTGACCCTCAAGACCAATCATTTCTCTTTTTTTGAGACGGAGTCTCGCTCTGTGGCCCAGGTTGGAGTGCAGTGGAGCAATCTCAGCTCACTGCTACCTCTGCCTCCTGGGTTCAAGTGATTCTCCTATCTCAGACTCCTGAGTAGCTAGGACTACAGGCACGTGCCACCACGCCTGGCTAATTTTTGTATTTTTAGTAGAGACAGGGTATCACCATGTTGGCCAGGTTGGTCTCAAACTCCTGACGTCGTGATATGCCTGCTTCGGCCTCCCAAAGTGCTGGGATTACAGGCATGAGCCACCGCGTACGGCCAAAACCAATCATTTCTGAAGAAGCTTCATTACAGTCAACAGAGTCAACCTCCCCCTTGTTCAGCCAAGATTCTGGCTGGTCCAAGGTCTATATTCCCTGCTCAACATCTGCAGAAAGGGCCAATCAAGGGGGATTTAGCTAAAAGGCAGAAGGGAAGGAGGAAAAGATAGGCGCCACCAAATGGCACTGCTCACAAACTAGCCAAGACTGCGTCAGGAGCAAGAGCACCTGACCCCAACCCTAGGTACAGTCCTGGGTGGTCTCTTACCGAGGTTCATGGGGTGGTCCACTCTGCTCTATCATGTTGAACTCACAGGTTTGACTAGCGAACTGGGCATATTCTAACAGCCCGCTGATGGGGTTCTTCAGCTGGCACTCTGTCAGTTTCTTGTAGGGTGAACACCGTGGCAAGCCATGACTGTAGAAGGAGGGCATCTCCATGATGGCTCGAAACTCACCTGGTGCTGCGCGGATACTATTCAAGTCATCTGGGATGTCATCTGTGGCCCACTGGCCATTTTCAAAGTCAACATACCCTGCTTTTGAGGGGCCATTGTTATGAACAGGTGGTTTCAGTCTTACTGGTTCTGGTCTTGCCTCCTGCCTGTTTTCTAACTTTATGACAGGTTCCTGCCCATTCTCCACTTTTTCGGTGGTTACCATGTTATTTGAGGCATTTGATGTGGGTATATTACAGGTGAGGAACTCTGTGTTTCTTTTGGTCTCAGGGATTGCAGCTGGAGCGGTTTCAGGAACACTGTTCGTATTTCTCTTGATTTGCATCCTCTCTCGCTTCTTGTCTGTCAAATGCCATATGGGAGGGGTTGTCCCTTGTCTATAGACATCCCCCTGCCTTTCCATGTCAATTAGCACGGCATTTATATCTCGGGCCTTGGTGAGGCCAATATTTTTAGCCAAATTCAGGGCAGAGGAGTCAGACACATTGAAGAGATAGTCGCAGATTTTCTCCTTGATCTCAGCCATGTCAAAAAACTCAAGAGGATCTTCCAAGGCAGATGTGGAGTTTCTGTCTTCAGGTTCCAAACTCGGCTCTGAGTTTGGGGCTCCTTGGCTATGACCGTCTGGTCTTACCACTCCGCTGTGCTGGTTCCAAGCCTGAGCTGAGACTGAGATAAAAGGCTCAAGATCTTCCGAGACAGATGTGGAGTTTCTGTCTTCAGGTTCCAAACTCGGCTCTGAGTTTGGGGCTCCTTGGCTATGACCGTCTGGTCTTACCACTCTGCCGTGCTGGTTCCAAGCCTGAGCGGAGACTGAGATAAAAGGCTCAAGATCTTCTGAGACAGATGTGGAGTTTCTGTCTTCAGGTTCCAAATGTGGGTCTGAGTTTGGGGCTCCTTGGCTATGACCGTCTGGTCTTACCACTCCGCTGTGCTGGTTCCAAGCCTGAGTGGAGACCGCGATTTTCCACAAAGGGGGTGTTCGTGCCTCTTTCTGTAGCTTGCCCTTCTTTGCCAGGGAATATAAAACTCGATTGATTTCTTTCTTTGGAGCCCCCAGTTTCCAAGACAGATCATGTGCTGTCGTGGCCTTCCCTTCCCCAAGCTCTTCCAAGAACTTTAAGATCCTTTGTTCCTGATCTTGGTTGATACTCAGTTCCTGGAAACGTGAGGAAAGGCAATCAACACCTCTCCGTGGCGGAATCCTGCCACGTGGTGAAGGATGCTGGAACCCTCTCTGGAGCCCCTGACTTCCGAGATGCACGCACCTGGGGACACCCCTGATATCCACTTGCCTGCCTCTGGTACTAGAGGCAGGTAGTACTGGAAACCTTGGCTGGAGTCCTGGGAGGGAAGGTGGTAGTGACGGTGTCTGCTTTCTAATCACCGGCGCTTCTGGGATCTGCCCCTTGAGAAACTCTATTTGCTTAAGCAGGAAACTATTGGGGGAAGATCCTGGCCCAGGCTGCTGGTATCTGAGCTTTCTGTGCTCATAGCCTTGAAATGGATGGGGGTAGTATCCGTTGAGGGAATACCCCTGCAGAATAAGACAGCAGAAAAGAAAATGAATTAGGGCTGCAGTGCTGAACCTGTGGAGGCCCCTCCCTTTGCTGCCTGTGGAACAGCCCTTGATGGGCTGAGAAGGCAATTGAGCCATGCATGGGCTTATGACTCAGCTAGGGTGACTTGCCTACCTCCTAAAACCTGCCTAGGGACCTGCCAACAGGAACACGGAGAGGGGGGCAGGAAGCAAAGCACGCAGAGCTTCCAGGAGCACAGAGGTTCTGAGGCCTCAGCATAGCCTCTCCAGCAACCTAACTTACTTTTCCCTTTGATGGAATTTAAGGGAGTTGAGAAGGAAATTTTCTAGTCAAAACAATTACCCTTTTAAAATTAGAACAACAAATAAATGTTACTTTGTTTTGAAAACAAAAACAGAAACCTGAAATAACCAGTACAATCACATAAAATAACCAAGGGAGACGGGACTAGGGAAGGGACGAGATGACCTCTCCTTGAGTCAGGCTCACTAGCGCACAGCTAGTGCACCTCCGCCCACCTGTCTCTAAGATCTATCGTTTGGATGACTATGACAAAAGAATAAATCTGATTGGATCAAACTGAACCCCAGTCCTCCAAGGCTGTAACAGTGCAGTAACAAAAACAACCTCCAGGTGGGAAAAGGCCATGGGACCTGAGAGTCATCTCTGTGGCTCTCCACTGCCATCCCGGGAGGATCAGAATTCGGTTTTCAGGGAGCTGGAGGGTTTCCTGATAAAAATGGCACACTGTCCTCACTCTTCAGTGTGGTACCCAGGCTCAGAAGGGATGCCAGAGACTTTTGCCCAAACCACCCAGGCTCTCCTGGATGTGTGGAGCTGGCAGCATCTGCTCCTCACCACCTCAGACCAGCCCTCCTTCCCTAGCTACCTCCCCATAGCTGCTTCCACCGCATGTTCTTCTGAACCCTGACGGACAGGGCATAAGCAACCCCATGTTCTCATCTGCACATTTACCACAACACTGAGCACCTGTGACCCCTTTCCCCACCCACCCACCTGCAAACCAGTACTGTCTTCTCCCCAGGGCTGTTCATTGGAGGGTGATGGAGCCAAGAAGTACTTACAAGCCTGGGGGTGTCAGTAAATACCTTGCTTCCTTTCCCTGGGGCTTGCAGACTGGGAGGAGGGATTCTGGCAACATTTGCTCACACTCACCACCCCCTCCTCAGACTCTCCTGAAGGCTGCACAGGTAGAGCTGGGACCCTTTCTTGCATAACTCTAGCCTTCTACTCTTCCACATCCTGACACACTTAGGGGATTTTAGCATTCTTGTCAATCACTCTCACGGTGCCCTGGCTACAGGGATCCTTAACCCAGTAATCTCCATCTCTACCTTTGCCACACAATTGGCTTGTCTAGCTACTCCTTCAATCTCACTATGACTGTAACCTAGGCCATCACACCAAGACCTCAAATCCTGCAACTCTTTTACAGTGGCTGACAAACTTTTTCTATAAAGGGCCAGATAGCTCTGCCACTGTAGCGCAAAAACGGCCTCACACAATAACCAAACCTTTATTTACAATTCATTTACCATGAAGTTTTATTTATAAAAACAGGTAGTTTGTACCTGTGGGCCATCGTTTCTTGACTCCTGCTCTTTTCTGATGGTGACTTCCCTGTGTTTCTACAACTTCCGCTCCTTACTCTGGTGAAACCTGCTCCTCGCATGACCCTGGCGAAGCTGCCATTCAGCCACCCTGATTCTTCCCCACTCTGACTTCACGTACCTCCTCACCCCACCTGGATCTCATGTCGGTTCCCTTCTCCACCCAAGGCCCACTGTACCCCTGTTCTTCTCCAAAGCTTCCCAATGGTACTGGAGAAGGACCCTGACTTATGCTAACAGGGCCCATAAAAATTCCTTCTCTTCAACTTCAGTTGGGTCTTCGCTGTGTGGTGGTCAATTCTGTTTAACGAACATGCGTTAGTGCACTGTGGATTGAGCGCTCTTCTTTTAAAAAATTCTCCTCCCAGGGTTTGGTGACACAGCACCAAAGGTCTTTCACTTTTTCTTCTTTGTCCCTTTTTCCCACCCCTTATAATTTTTTAATAGCTACTGTATTAACAGTTCCACCCTTTATATAATCAGTCTCCAAGGTTTTAAGGACCTCTTCTTCCTTTATAATTTATTTCCTAGGTTGCTTTAATCACTGCCCGAACCTAAACTAGCCCTCTGAGGCAAAAACACTCAAATCTACTATGTCCAGCCACTACCTTGTGTGGGAGCTTAAGATCTGAATTTCCAACTATGTCGACAATCTGTCCACTTAAATATCCTCCCATAATTCAAGCAGCACATATTCTGAACCAAATTAATAGATCCCCTCAAACTCAGCTCCTTCTCCTGTAGTTCTTATTGCTAATGGCATCACTCTCCTCCTAGCCTACTAAGGCTAGAAACCTGAGTCATCTTTGCTGCCCGCCTCCTGGCCTCATCTCCTGGATCTAATCAGGTAGTTGCTAAGTCCCGCCTTGTCTGCCACCTCTGTACTATCTCTTACATGTCTTCTTTCAGTTCCAGTCCCTCATTACCTCTTACTGGGCCACTGCAACGGCCTCTAATCTTCCTATCCCTCTACATGCCAATCCAGGTGGCACATCTCCCTCCACCGCCACCTATCACAACTCTGACCCTTTCCTTATAGAGCTCCTTAAATGCCACTTGCTTCAAGAAACTCCTTGATTCCCACCTTCTTCAGCCCTTGGGGTTTCCTCTCCTTGAGCTTCTCCCACTCAGTACCTGTTAGACCATTTACTTTACCTTGTATAAGAGTTATGGATTTTTTTTTTTTTTTTAATGGCACACACAGATTGTAGTGTCTGAAAGGTAATTAACATTAGGTGTCCTACAAGTTATACTCAACTCTCTCTTCTCAACATTCCCAACACAGTATTGATGAGGGGCTTCAGCTGATTCCACGGTGAGCTCCTGGGATCAAGGACTATGCTTCAATCATCTCTGCCTCCCTAGCACTTGGCACAAAGTTGATTCTCAACAAACATTTGTTGAATTAATGACTGCATGAACAAGATGCCACTATGCGCTATGCAAGCAATCATATCTTCTTCCTTGTTCCTCTTGCTGCACCCTCGCGCCCACCATGTTGCTAGGAACAGAGGCAAATGTGTGTAGAGTGAGTGCTGGCTCCCAGAGCTTAGATGTTCTCCTATTAGCTCTTTGAGTGACCTTGGGAAAAAAAAACTGTGTTTCAAAGTGGTTAAAGTCAGTTAAAAGCAAAATGTTTTTTAAACTGCTACTCTTGGCCCAAATCTGGAAAATATTTTAATGTCTGTCTATAGAAGAGTTAAATTATGATACATTCATTCTATGGAATAGTACTTACACAGTTATTTTTATTTTTTTTTTTGAGACGGAGTCTCGCTCTGTTGCCAGGCTGGAGTGCAGTGGCGTGATCTCGGCTTACTGCAATCAGGCTGGAGTGCAGTATAATCTCAGCTCACTGCAATCTCCGCCTCACGGGTTCAAGTGATTCTCCTGCCTTAGCTGGGATTACAGGCACGTGCCACCACACCAAGCTAATTTTTGTATTTTTAGTAGAGACAAGGTTTCACCATGCTGGCCAGGACGGTCTCGATCTCCTGATCTCATGATCCGCCCTCCTTGGCCTCCCAAAGTGCTGGCATTACAGACATGAGCTACTGCACCCGGTCAGTTATTTTATTTTTTCAAAATGTGTCATATCTATTTGTATTCATCTGGGGATAATTTAGGAAACATATGTTAAATAAAACAACAAAAAGTTGTAGAATAACATGTACATTATAATTTTTTCCCCCTAAACAAAAAGAGAAAATCCATGAATGTGTATGTGTGTGCACACTGGAATGAACACAGAGAAAAGAAAGGATATATAAATTTGCTAAAGGATATCTTAGGGCAGTAGGGTTAGAGGGAGAGGGGGAGATTAATTTTTCTTTTTGCCCCCTTAAGTCCCCTAAAAACCAAGCCACCACTGAGAACAGCCATTTGGAAAGCTACTGAATAGGAGAGCAAGAAAATGAGCAAGCAACCCATAGTGATCATTTCTAAATCTCTCAGCATTGCCTCTATGCAAATTACATAACAAGTTGTTTAACATTCATTGCTCCCCAAATTTCACTTTGATCTGGTCTCACTACCAGACCAAGAGATAAGCACTACCCCCTTTGCCTTTACCACACGGGTTCCACAGTGTCATACACTGATACCTGTGCAGAAATGCTTTTCCTTCAAGGCAGGCATCCCTAATCCTTTCAAAGGAGTGGTATGTATGTATATCTTAACGAAATTGAGGTATATAATTTAGATACAGTAAAATTTATCCTTTTAAGTGTATAAATTTATGAGTCTTGACAATCGCCACCACAATCAAGATATAGAACATTTCTATTTCCCTAAAAAGTTTTTTCATGCCACTCAACAATCAACTTCTTCCGTGATACCCAGTCCCTGGCACCCACGGATCCACTTTCCATCCCTATAACTGTGTGTTTTTTCCAGAATGTCATATAAATGGACTCATATAGTATGCAGTCTTTTGAGTCTGGCCTCTCGTGCTTAGCATAACGCACTTGTGAATCACCCGTGTTGTTACCTGTAACAGTAGGTCCTCCTCACTGCTCAGCAGTTTATCTGTTAACCTGCTGAAGGACATTTGTGTTTTTCCAGTTTTTAACTATAATTTATAAAGCGGTTAACAAGCTTTCTCCTACAGCTTAAGAAGGGCCATTTTTAACTCCCGGAAGGCCTTCCGGAGGTGGATAGGGTACGCTGAGGATAGTGTGCGCTGCTCAGAGTCCGAAAGTTGTTCAAATGGTGCTAAAGCGGGGGTAGGGGGTTCCCAAGGGGCCCTAGCAGAAAGGAAGACGGGGTGTCTGCCTTGACATGGGCTCAGGCCTTCCTACTCAGAAGGGGGCGCATTTTCCCTCAAGCCCTCTTCACTCACTGCTCCATTCTGCAGAATTAATAAGCAGGATACAAATTCACAAATTCCTAAATCAGCAATGCTGCTTGGCAAGACCACACACACACCCACACACAGACACAAACACACACACACCCCCCACACACACTCTAACACTCACAAGACGCACAAATTCCTAAACCAGCAAGCAAGACGACACACACACACACACACACACACACTCACAAGACAGCACACGCTATGCACTCCAACACAAAGCCCGTGAGGTTATAAGACAAGCCCAGACGGCGGCGAAGGTCCAGGGCCTGCCTGGCCGGCCCGGCTTACCTGCCACGGGTTCATGGCGCCCGAGAGGCATTGCCCGACCCGACCCGACCCGCCGGCGGCACGAGCCTGGCCAGACCGCTGGGCCGCGCCAGCCCCTCGAGGCCCCCACACCCCTGCTGCTTCGCACTGCAAGTAGCCCGAGGCGTCGGCACAGGAAACTCTGCGGGTCTGCGCGCCGGGCCCAAGATGGCTCCGGTTCAATTTCGCTTTCGTTTCCTCGGAAAGCCTTCCCCTCCGGAAAGTTTGGCCAAGAGGAGGGGCTTGAGCAAATCTTGCGCCAGTGCTTGGTTTCAGGTCGGTTGCAAGTCGAACCCCTCCCTTGCATGAGAACTACGGAAGGAACTTTTTTTTTTTTTTTTTTTTTGAGACGCAGTCTCGCTCTTGTTGCCCAGGCTGGAGTGCAGTGGCGCAGTATCAGCTCACTGCAACCTCTGCCTCCCGGATTCAAGCGATTCTCCTGCCTCAGCCTCCCGAGTAGCTGGGATTACAGGCGCGCACCATCACTCCTGGATTTTTTTTTTTCCCCCGGTAGGAACAGGGTTTCACAACGTTGGCCAGGGTGGTCTCGAACTCCTGGCTTCAAGTGATCCGCCCACCTCGGCCTCCCAAAGTGTTGGGATTACAGGCATCAGCCCCCAGCCCGGCTGGTACTCTTCTTTAGGAAAACCGCCGTTCCAGTACTGAGCTCCTAATTCCCCGCACAGGCCTTAGGCAGGAATACACGAATAGAGCAAAAGAAAAACAAAGGCACGCAAAACTTCAGGCCAGAAACAGCATGAGGCCCTGTCCTCCCTCCCTCTGCGCCAGCGCGGTGGTGGCCGCGTCGCCAATGTGGCGGGTTGGGGGGGGGGGGCGGGAGCGCGGATCTCTTCAAACGACGAAGGTCCCCACCGTGGGGCCTTGTTAATGCTCCTACTATGTTACAAACTTAAGCAGATGCCAGCCAGTAAAAAGTACCAAGAGTAGCAACAGCAGCAGTGAACAATTTTGGATCTAGGTCATAAAAACTATCCCACCAGGCAATGGTTAAGTACTTTACATCTCCCTTAATCTTCACAACAGCCCTCCAAGGTAGGCATTATACCCACTTTGCAGGTGTAGAAACCGAGGCTTGACTAAGGCCACGCTGCTGCTAAATCCACGTCTGAAGGCGGAAAGCTCAGTCTTCGGGGCTTCTCTACATTCATTCAAATTACACCATTACTTTCAAAAAGATAACTTTTGTTATCTGGAGGGACAAAAGTCAGATTTGCTTCATGGTCAGGATTCTTCTTTCTTCTTTTTTTTTTTTTAATTCGGAGTCTCGCTCTGTCGCCCAGGCTGGAGTGCAGTGGCGCAATCACCGCTCACTGCAAGCTCCGCTTCCCAGGTTCACGCCATTCTCCTGCCTCAGCTTCCTGAGTAGCTGGGACCACACGCGCCCGCTGCCACGCCCCCGCTAATTTTTTGTATTTTTTAGTAGAGACGGGGTTTCACCGTGTTAGCCAGGATGGTCTCGATCTCCTGACTTCGTGATCCGCCCGCCTCGGCCTCCCAAAGTGCTGGGATTACAGGCTTGAGCCACGGCACCCGGCCAGTCAGGCTTCTTTAACTACTTGATTTTTGTTCAAGGTATCTGGGAAACGATTATTGTAGGGTTCAACACCATCCTCACCTGTGAGAAAGTTCTTTCCCTGTGTTTAATCTTAATTTTACCCCCCTGCTTCTGAGATTACAAGGCAGTCCCTTTATAGCAGTATTTCCAGCTGATGCCCTTTCACCGTGTTAGTCACTCCAAATTAACATTCCCTTGCAGGCTGAGCTCTGTCTTCCTTCTGGGCCTTTGCACATTCTATTCGTTGGCCTAGCATGCCTCCTCCACTGCTTCCAGTGAAGCAACCTTTCAAATCTACAAGGGAGGCCTTCCCCACAGCAGGTAGGAGAGGGGAGGGGGAGCATGTGCTGCTTGTGGTTTCTTACTCCATGCTTCTTGAGTTACTGGGCACCTATCCCTAATAGGGCACTTGTACATTCCGCTAAAAATGCCCCATTCGATCATTTAACAAAACTTTACTAAGCACCTAATTATGAGGCAGATACTGTGTTAAGCACCCAGGATATGACACAAATAAGAGTGCCATCCTTTAGCTAGTCTGGTGGGGAAGATGGATGCCTCAGTAATCACAATTATCATGTATTTCTTGTTCATATATCTGCCTCTAGAATTGTCAAGCCATCTCCTCGGGGGCAGGCAGCATATTTTATATCCCTATTTCGCCTTCAGAGGGCTGGTTAGTTGAAAGAATAACAGACCACTCAGTAGGTATAACAAGGGCAAAACAATCGAAAGACAACTTCACAGGAGGTAACAAAATATCAAACATACGAAAAGGTCCTCAACCCCATCACATCAGAGAAATGCACAGTATAGCTACAGAGAGCTACTGTCCATTCACCAACAGACAGCATTAGCCAACTGATCAGACCAGTGGCAGCAAGGATGCAGAGCAGCTCCTAGTCACTACAGGAAACCAGTTTACCATTATCTAGAAAGGTCTGACTATACACACCCCAAGAAGTTCATAGTTGCATTATTCATAATGTCTGTAATAGCCCCCAAACTGGAAAAACCCAAACGTCCAGCAAAAGTAAAATGGATAAATAGTGGCATATGCCTATGATGGAATACGATACAGCAACAAAAATGAAAGATCTACACATGCAACAAGGTAGCTAATTATATAAATATGATACTGAGTGGGAAAAGTCATATGTATACTATATGGTCCCACTTACAGAAAGTCCCAAGCCAGGCAAAACCAAACTATAGTATGCTCTGCATAAAAGACAAAATGAGACCAGGCGCGGTGGCTCACACCTGTAATCCCAGCACTTTGGGAGGCCGAGGTGGGCAGATCATGAGGTCAGGAGATCAAGACCATCCTGGCCAACATGGTGAAACCCCGTCTCTACGAAAAATACAAAAAATTAGCTGGGCATGGTGGCGGGCGCCTGTAATCCCAGCTACTGCGGAGACTGAGGTGGGAGAATCGCTTGAACCAGGGAGTCGGAGGTTGCAGTGAGCCAAGATCGTGCCACTGCACTCCAGCCTGGGGACAGAGCAAGACATCTGTCTCCAAAAAAAAAAGACAAAATTGTGGTTAATTACTTCTAGGTAGAAAGGTGGGAGTTTTGACTGGGAAGAAATACTTTGGGTACTGGTGATGTTCTAGCTCTTGACTTGGGTAGTGGCTACATATGTTTGCTTTCCAATAATTTAATTATACATTTATGTTTTATTCACGTTTCTGTATATATATGCTGTATTTCACAAATTTAAAAGCTAAAAACAAACAAGAACCACAACAAACTCTTGCTGTTGCAATTCCAGTCCACTTTCCCATGTTTTTTTTTCCCTTCCTTTAAGTAACAGGAGTTATATCTTACCTCTGCTTCCTTGTCTTCAGGCAAGACAATCTGAAAGCCTTTAACCCTTCTTCAGAAATGATCCAGAAAAGCTTTAATCACAACTACTGTGTGAGGGAAGCTGGACCGCTGCTCCCCCCATCCCTTTTAATCTAACATAGGACACAGTGGCAGGGCAGTGACCTTTCCTCAACAGAAGGTCAGTTTATGCCTTGAAAGAACAACTCCTATTGTCATTTAATCTTAGCAGCTCAAGTAACTGCAGTCTTATTCATAAATGTTTTTTCTCCTCCTCCTCAGTAATTGTTTTAACTCCCCCAAGGTTGAGAGGTGGTGATGTCTTTTTTTTTTTTTTAACTGTTCTATTGTAGGAACTTGACAAGTTGGATGAAGGTCTTTAAAAAAGTAAACAAAAGTAATAGGTTTATTTCAGAAAATACAGACCAGCAAACACAATAAAAATCACCCATTGTTAATTCATCATTCATCCGTGCCTACCCTTTCAGCGGTTTCCCTGTGCGTAAAGGCACCACCAACACTCAAAGGCACCGCCAACACATGGGTGGTCAGTCCTCTCCCAAGGGAGGAGCTCTTCCTATAAAGAATGGCTCACCTCCCCAGGGGCCGATGAAATGACCCCAGATGTGTCTATACTACCTAGGGTTACTTATAAAAACCACCTAAATGATTAAGAGTTACTGTCTAAAAATGAAGCACTCAGAAACTCAGTATTCTCAGAAGTCTGGCTTCCACATAGCTGTGCCAAGCTCTAGCTCCATAACTGCATTCAGGGGGTGAGACTTCCCCACTTACAGGAAAGGACATGCTATTATCAGGGTTCCTGAGTTGGTTTTGTTTTCCAATCCCTGCCATTTTTGCTTTTTAACTATAAGTAACTGTTAGTCTGGCTTAGTAATTGTTAATTTGGTTTGTTGTGGATCTTCTGTTTAACCTTACTGCGTGCAGGGATACATATTTACAACAGTCTTTTTTAGTCTATAATGTCCTATAACCAGACTTTACTACACATATGGGCTATATCCAATTGGAACGTCTATCTCCCTGTCTACTGTAAAGCAGATGTCTGCAAACTCCTTCAGTATTTGCTCATACAGTGATACTGGGACAGAAATGTACTGCATGTGAATGTATCCTAAACAATCTGCAACATATTATCAAAGAAAGTAATAAATTACTCAGTTATTTTTAAGTACCAGGGCATCATTTTAGAATAACTCTTAGGAAATGCATAGCAAGCAATTCAGAGTTGCTAGGCACAAATTTATTGCCCTCCTTTTTTGTTACTGTTGTTTCTCCTCAATTCTTTATCATTGAGTTCTTTATTCCACTAAAACAGCTCCTAACAATCAACATTAATTTTCTTTCTTTTTTTTTTTTGAGACAGAGTCTTGCTCTGTTGCCCAGGTTGGAGTGCAGTGGCGTGATCTCAGCTCACCGCAACCTCTACCTCCCAGCTTTAACTGATTCTCCTGCCTCAGCCTCCCAAGTAGCTGGGACTACAGGCATGCGCCATCATGCCTGGCTAGTTTTTGTGTTTTTAGTAGAGGTGGGGTCTTGCCATGTTGGCCAGGCTGGTTGCAAACTCCTGACCTCAGGTGATCCGTCTGCCGCGGCCTCTCAAAATGCTGGGATTACAGGCGTGAACCACTGCTCCCAGCTACAACTGGCTTTTGAAGTTACAAGAAAGCAAGAAATGTGGCCGGGTGCAGTGGCTCATGCCTGTAATCCCAGTGCTTTGGGAGGCTGAGGCGGGCAGATCAACTGAGGTCAGGAGTTCGAGACCAGCCTGACCAACATGCAGAAACTCCGTCTCTACTAAAAGTACAAAATTAGCCGGGCGTGGTGGCACATGCCTGTAATCCCAACTACTAGGGAGGCTCAGGCAGGAGAATCACTTGAACCTGGGAGGCGGAAGTTGCAGTGAGCCAAGATCGCGCCATTGCATTCCAGCCTGGGCAACAAGAGCAAAACTCCATCTCAAAAAAAAAAAAGAAAAGAAAAGAAAGAAATACCT